AAAGACTGTTTAAAATTTTAAATATAATTATTAATTGATACAGTGCGGTTGTGTAAGAATTAACATCGGGAAAATAGCAGTAGCGATCCCCAGTTTTTTACTCTTTTCACATTTTCATCTCCAACTTTCAGAATAGAGCATTTTAGTCTCCAACCTTCCACTGTTTCACGTTTTGATAACTGAAGTTCTTGTGTGTGTATTGTTCTTGTCGAGTTTAAGTGATATTTGATGTAAAATTTTACCCTTATCACACTATACAAAATCGTGGTTTACTTGACAATACTGATTTCAGAATTCGACTACCGAATCGATCTTTTAATCATATCAAATTGCTTAGTTAGCTTTTTGAATTCTTGTATTATATAAGGTCTTAAGATTCCGTCTAAAGATATCAACACAAGTTTATATATTTTAATTATTTTTTTTTGTTTGAATAATATGGATTTTTATCTCTTGTAAAAGCATATTTTCATATTGACGAAATAGCAGTAGAAATACCCAACCCATTATTCGTAATACATTTTTGTCCTCGATTTTTAGCATTCTAGTCTCAAACCTTTCACTTTTTTCACATTGTGAGGGCTATAATGCATTGTTTTAAAAGTTGAAGATGAAAATACAAAATGTACAATACGTTGGAGGACCTCGGCCTCTATTTTTCCATTCGCATTTCACGTGCAAAGAATTTGATCAAGACGCGCTTTAAGGAGCTGGAAAACCGAGTTTTTGACCCCGCTTAATATATAATATAATATTAATCCAATTTATTTATCTTTTAATACGTTGGACCACTTCTAATAAATAATTTATTAAATTAGAGGATAAATTACAAAGGTGCGAGTGTAGGATGACATACGATCATTTATAGAGAAGAAAGGTTTTATGGAAGGGGTGATTTGTTGGTAGAGCATATTCTTTGTAGTGGATCGAAATTGTTTTTTACAATGACTATTTGGAAGTGTCCTTGGTCAAAGGATAAATTTTACATCGAATAAAAATGAAATTATAAATCAATATATAATAAC